ATTTAAAATATCCTGCCTGTACATCAATAAATGCAATATGCACCTGAACTTTTCATTTTCAATTTTCAGGAGGCTTGAATATGGCTGGTTATTACAGAAAAATTGTATCAATTCTACTGTTCATCCCTGAATGTAGGGAAAACAAACAGCATTGATTATGAACCAGACATATTCTAATTCTAGTTCCCTATGGATTGGAATGTATTACAAGACTGTGGCAAAAGGAGCAGTACGTATTGTGAACCATAGATATTAAAAAAGAACAGTTATGCTTTACAGGTTGGCTTGATCTAAGGGTCAACAAACCTGAATCAAATATTGCTATTATATAAGGAATAGCTATAGGCTTGGGACAATTCTCCCAAATACTGACAGCACCCATATAATATCTTACTATAGACATCCAGCCTTGCTGTGCAGGAAACAATCCCAGCTTCATTCTTTGCTGATACAGTGTACCAACCAGCATCTTCTTTTGTAGCTCCCTGAATAAGCAGGCAGACATATCCATGATTATCTTGGTGCATGCTGAAAAGGATAACGAGACAGATGAAAATGTATAACTAAATGACTTGTATAAATGTATAAATCATTTTAAATAACTGAATGAGAAAACAAGGATAATGTTTCAGCTCCTAGATCAAGTGAATACAATGTATGAAGAAACAACCTGTCTCTCAACTGATGTTTCTCTAGCAGTTTCCAGTGAAGTTAATAAACATTAACTAAATTATGACTGGTTTCATGTTTTTTATATTATATATTTTAAAATAGATCACCATCAGAAAAAAACACACATAAAATCGGTTTTAGTTGTCTTTTCACCACAGAAGCACAGATATAATGCATTTCAGATGCATGTATGTCTTCCGGCCTGTTATTAGCCAACAATAAAACATAAAATAATTCATAATTTAAAATCTGCCCTACTAAAGTTATCCCAGTTCAGTTCCTACCAGCTACAGTGGACTTATATAGATCTCTTAAGAATTTGGCTGAATGTTGTATAATATTGGGCTACTCTATAAGAATGTTCACACAGAAAGGATAAAATAATGAATTCCCCATCTCAGTTTACCATATTTCTAGTAATAGACATGACAATTTCTCTGTAAAATGAGCAATGCAGCATAGACTATATAGACTATCAGTCTTTTTCCTGCCACAGGGCAAAGGTGCTTATGGGATTTTTTAATCTACCTGCTAAAATTGCCAACAGTAATAGCATTTTAAGGGTGATCACAGGAAAAGCTCATAGCTATTTGGTATGATGGTATATGACAAATAAGCAGCTTCTTTTAACACCCAGTCAGGTGAAGTATTTTAAAACTCAAGTTCTTAAATGGAAAGTGACATTAGGCACATAGCTAGCATTAAAGGAATCACAAAAAATTAGATTGAATTATGTCTAATGCAACGTAATCATCAAGGGTGTAACGTGAAGCAGCATATTGCAGTTCTGCTGCTACCATGGCTTCAAAAAGGTAATTGCCCACACAAATGTTTGAACAGAAGTGGCAGTCCTCAATACATTTCAGCTCCATGCATTTCAACACATACTTTCCATGTGTTCATAAGCTTTTTGGGGATACTTGTACAATTCATTTATTTGAATTATATTCCACTTTTCCTTCAGAAGGTCTAGTTGGTGGTATACACAGTACTCCTTCCTCCAATTTCTTGTTTTACCACAACAATCCTGTAACACAGATTGAGCTGAGGGAGTGTGACTAGTCCAAAATCATCAGTGAGCTCCTGCAACTGAGGGTGGAACTGGATTTACAGTAACTCCAAGGGTCTAGTCCAGCATCTCATTACTACACCACACTGACTCTCACCAGGTCAATTTGAATTTTATCTGTTTACAAAGACTACAACTTTCAATTTCTGATAATAAGAAGCTTCATTTTGCAGTAAATATTAAAGCACATGTAAAATCTTCTCAAACCAATTATGGCAATTGAAAGTTCTGGGAGATCATTTGTATTTAGGAGTAAATAAGAGATCTTTTGGCTATGTTCGGAGGATAGAAAAGTGGATCAGCGGAACGTTTCAACTACAGAACTAAAATAAAAGTTCAACTACAGTAGAGACAATACACATTCCTGCGTCACACAATTCAGAGTTGGGATCCCTCTGGAAATGTAACCTATGGGGTATTTTCATACAGTCCCTATCTTCCAAGGATTTCTTTCTACAAAGCCTTTCTCAGGGTATAAACATTGAAGATTGCTTTAAAATTAACAGCCATGTATAATTCCCTTAGATCTGACTTGTATTTCTCTATAAGATGACTTACTATCAGGCAATGGCCAGAAGATGCATCCCCGGCTCAAACTGTTCATGTATTAGTTATGTATACTGTTGCTCAAGCCTTTAGATAAATGTTCGGCATAGACAACTGACATAGTTAATGAACAGTAAATGACACTAACCTCACTCTGTCAGTGTTATATGTAAGTGACTCATTTTCTTTCTTCCAGAAAATCTGAGGTGGAGGCACAGCTGAAACCCGGCATTCCAGTCGCACGGGATACCGCTCAGCCACTCCTGTATTCTGCAGTTTTTCTACAAATACAGGTGGCTTGTGTGCTTCCTTAGCTGAAAAAGAGAGAGATTCCCCCACCTCTTGCATCAGTAAGACATTACACATACATTTTGTAGTATTTTCTCTCAACATTTCTTAGGATTAGGGGTACCTGACACATAGATGTACTTGGAAAACTTCTCTTCATTTGCTGCTGCCCAATGGGCTGAGGAAGATGCAACTTAATGTTCCCACTTGCATTAGAAGAAAATGAAAGCCACAGTCTAGTCAAATGACTATGATGGAATGTAACCATTGCCAGAATTGCTGATAATTGTCTTATAATGAAGCACACTGCCCAATTATTTAAGCTTGGCTCTGTTCTCCCACTGGGAGTGAGTAACAAGAAGCTGATGAGGAAGTCAAAACTTTCAATAAGTCCCCAGACAGACCCCAGCTTCTCACTCCCCCATCAACTTCAAACCTTGCTTTCTGATTCTTTTAGGGAGGCAATAAAGAAGATGTCTCAGTAGGGATATAACAGACTGCTATAGTTTCCTTGTTAATTTCTGAAGAATTGTGGCACCCCTAACTAACAAGGAAAGCAAGCAGTGGCTCATTCAGTTCACATTGCTCACAGAACAAGGAGCTAGAATTCTTAGCAATTTGAGCTTACTGTTATGTGTGGACACAGCCACTGATTTCATCAGAAAAAATGTGCAGATTTTTTTTCTCTCTTATCAAAATCTGTTTATAAATGCTTTCTAATAGAAACCTACAGACAAGCACACGGGTCAATAAACGTTTTTCATACCCGCTGCAGGATATAAAGCCACTGATTTACTCATTTCACATAAGGCCTTTCAAAACATTCTAACTTTGGAGTCAGTTTTACATGAATGGCTGCAACATAGCAGATATCCCAACCACTCCAGTCAATGGCTGTTTTCAAGGCTCTTTCTCCTATAAAAGTGAGATCAGCCATCTCCAACTGCCAACTTGATGGGCATGATTCACATGCTTCCTGTCTATAGTTGGATCATTTACATAATCACACAGCAGTATGGAAGCCACTCACATAAAAGCTAAGCTAGTTATAAAGATCCCCATAAACAAAAGTTGTTTGTGTTTCAAACAAGTCACACTGTGTAGATACTTTCACTTCTAAAACTGGAATAACTGTATACAGTGATGAATTCAGACCATCAGCTGGAACATAATCCATCCAGATCTCCTAAACATCTGCTATGCAGTTCCAAAATAGTGATGGCAGAATGGATTATATTTACCCCTCCTGGTGATCTGCGTTCATTCAGTTATAAATGTGTGGCTAATTTTCCTGCTTACGTGATTGCTACTGTAGCACACTGCTTTAAAAAGGAGGACCCAACTGGCAGCCCCAATGTGCTAGACTGTAACTCATTCATGAACTGTCACCACATCTCAGTACGACCACCTTAGGCACCTTCAAGATAGTCATCTACCATCTCCTGTAATACGGGCTTTTAATATTAGCCTGTTATAGGATTGTTATAAAGTAAGAAGAGAATGGGTGGCATAATATTGCTCATCAGGCCTAAAAAACCAGGAAACATTTGTCAAATGCCAAAATGTATGTTAAAAAGAATTATAGAATTATAGAGAAAGGAACTACAATTGACTGTTAAGTTCAGGCGCTCAAATACGTTTTCTCAAATTATGTAAGAGTCCTACCTGTCACAATCAGATCCAAGCTGAAGGTGTTCTGACCAGCTCGATTAGTGGCAACACATGTATAGATGCCAGCATCCCTTGCTGTGACTGGCTCTATGATTAAAGAGTGTATGCCATTTTCCCGTACAAGCATTTTGTGGGAACTATCAGAACGTATTACTCTTCCATTAAGTTGCCAGCTGATGTCGGGAGTTGGCAAGCCACTGACCTTAAACAGAATACACCACAGACCTCAGTAAGGCAAAAGCATATAAAGACTGTAGAAAAGCTGTATTAATTTGTTTCAGTGCATTGTGTTCTGTTATCCCAGAAGACCAGAAACAGGTAAAACTTCATCAACCCTTTCTGCATGCACGAGCAAACTTCTTAGTAGAGGGATGCAGTTCTATTTGAACTGACGTTCCATAACAGCATTAAGTACCACAATACACAGAATGAAAAGATTTTATGTCCTGTTATCTCTTTATATTTAATAATATCTTGATTACTACCTTTCATTTTTTTCCCTCCATCACAGCACTGTAAAATCTTATTTTCAAAGGAGGAATGTGTTAAAAAGGTTTCACTGAACTTAAAACTCCTTTTCAACTATATACTATTCAAGAAAATTAAACTCCATATTCAGAATCTTATGAGTCAATCTCAGCTTGTTGAATGACATATATCACTAATAACCATTACTGCTTGGCAAAGCTGCTTTACAGCCATGTTATGAGAAAGGTTTTAAAAGCACTCCAATAAAATCCTGAGTTACCTAAATACACTTGAAATTCAATAGTTTTTACTTTGGAAGATTTAAAAAAGATTTAAAAAGTTAAAAGGGACATAGAGGAAGAATGAATTTTGTTAAACATTTACAAAATGCATTTTCTTCTTTGTCTCCTTTGTGTATAGATACACTCCATTATTGAACTGGTTCCTCTATCGGTTTCCTATCAGATAACTTCCTCAGCCCTGTCTTAGAACTTATTTCACACAGTCCTCAAGTGGGATGACAACATAACATGATGTCACTCCAACAATAACTCTTAGGATAGAGTTAATGTAAATACAATAACATTTATTGAATGTAGCTCAATTCCATCTCTATCCAAAATCATTCTCATGTATTTGTAAAAATGTAAATGTAACACACTTGGAAAATCCAGTCAATATAACCTATACTTTCAAGATTAAAAATCAAATTAAAAATGTACCTTGCAATCCATTCTACAAAGTTTTCCTTCTTGAACCATCAGATCTCCTGGAGCCTGTAGGAAATGTGGTCGGAAGAAGCGTTCCTGGATTGGTTCATTTTCATCTCCACTATCCCTTGATCGAGACCGAGGTCTGTAGACAATATATAAAATAAATAACCCCATCTTTTCTGTGTCTGTAACTGTGAACATCTGTCACATCAGTAACAGAATAACAAAATGCATTACAGTAGACCATGAAATGAATCCAACAGTCTGAGAAAAGAAATTGCTATCTTTAAAGAACTAAATAGTTGTTTTGCTTATTATTTTTATTTAAAGTTGCCATTAAAAGCTACTTTAAAATTATTATGCCAAAATATTTTAAGAGTAAATATTTTAAGAGCTAAAACATTATATAGCTCAGTTCAGTTTCAACAAGAGTTTTCAGTTATGTAATGCAACATTAGTTTGTCACTGAATTTCTCTTGTAATCTAAAATTCATATACTTTTTCATCTCTGAAAAGAGGTTCAGTTTGAAAAGTTGACTTTTAAAGCATTAAATACAGAGGAGAGATCCAGCTAATCATATAACTTCCTCAGTCAGTAATGCCAGCAAATAAAGTAAAAATGATGAAAAGAACAAAGAAAATATATTAGTACTAGAGCCACAAAGTTCTCTTAAGTTCATAATTAACTATAATACCTTCTGACATGAGGCTGGCTAGGAGGTGTCCGGGGACTGCGCCCCCTCTGATTGACCGCTTGGACCATCAACCGTCCTGTACAACTTATTCTGCCCTACCATTTGAAGAAAAGGAAAAAAAGGAAAGAGAAATTATATACATGAAAAACAGTTTTGCAGAATAGCTTTTTTTTAACAATTAGGTCTTCTAACGGTTCTTTAGGTTGCTACTTACATACTTTTACAAAATGTTTGTTTTTGGAGACTAAATGTTGTTTTGGGGGAGAGTTTGCAGTTTTTCCATAGTAAATGTAATCACATCCTTCCCAAGAACTGTTGCAAGCCCAACAAGAAAGGAGGTGGTCAGTGAACACCCAGAAGCTTACTAGAAATACAAGCAGCTGTTTAACCACAAAACATGCAGCAATGACCTACGACAACTCCCAGGTTTGGCTGACCCTTGAGTATGACAGTCTCAATGAAATTCTTTTTCTTCCCTATCATAGCTGCTACCTAATTAATCTGCCCCCCTCATTTTCGGCCCAGAGAGCAAATTTACTGAGTAGGATAAAAGTGAATAGCAACTATTGCTCCTTTTCTCACCATTAGGTTTTCTTTCAGAGTTACCAAATCTTGGTTTAAAAAAAAAAAAAAACAGATGGCCACTAGATGGCAGCATACAGGAAACTCTAACTTGCTGCCACTTGGTTGGAATTATCGCAGCTCAGATCTAGTAGCACCACATTTAATTTGTTTATATTTACACATCCCACCCCCTTTCAGATATTTAAAATATGTATTTATAGATATATGCTCCAGATTCACTCTATGGAAATTCTACAGCAAAATTCACTACATTCAGCTGAACCTGGTAACAGCACAATACTATATGGGATGAGGAACACAGAGTTCCTAATCACATGGATCACTGTAACTGCATTCAGCTGAACTTGGTTACATGATCAGAAGTAGTTACTGCAAGAAACACAGCCACCCTGGAAGATTTTTATGGGGTCCCCCTAACCAACCTTTTTAGACTGGAGAAGCACTTGGACAACTAGCAAAACGTCTCTAACCAAAAAGAAAAGAAGTCCAGTTGCCATGACTCAACCTCCAGACAATTCCACCTGAATGACTGAGAATCTTCATAAACAGACAGCCAACTGTGTACATTAAACACTGCTGGGTCAGATTAAAAAAGCAGTTGCTTTCAGACAATTTTATCTATTTATTTCAGGAAATCATATATATTTACTTGAGAATAAATTCCACTGCCTATAATGGGATTTATTTCTGCATACTCAAATACAGGATTTACCGTTAATCTGAGAACTAGATGAGGAAAAGTTATGTATCTGTTATCAAAAGAACCATTAACTCACACATGCCTGGGATATAAGAACTGGGCCTGAAGCATTAAAAAATCCTTTATGAACCCCCCCAAAAATTACAATCTCTCACATCTGTGATTTCGCATACGTATTTAAAAAATTATCCACAAAACATATGAAATATAAAAGCTGAATGTAAATTGCAAAGTATAATCACAAACACAGGAAGCAAATACCTTGTTTTTATGCAAAGAGAAAGGAAAACTATAATTATTACAGCAGTAGTATTATTACATTTAGATTTGTTTAGATCTTTCAAGAATTTAAAATATTTCCCAGTGCTTGCAAAGCCTTGGAAAATAAATGCTCTTATCCCTAAGATGGGCTGGGCTGGGGAAACTAAGACCAGGTCAAAGTGGCAGGCCACCCACGGCAGTCAGGGCAGACGTTTCCTGATTTATAACTCAGTTTCTTAGCTGTTGTCAGCCATAGGTCCTGACAGTATTTCTTAACAGGATGAGTTTCACAGTTAAGATGGTTATATTTGTAGATTGCCCAACAACGGCAACTAGACAATCCTAAATAAAGTGTGGACAACCGCTATGATCCTAAGAATCTGACACACCCATTTACTGAACTGCAGCTTAACCTTTCAATTGTGAGGGCCACTGCAGAGAAACTAGAAAAGTGTGGGAGGTGGGTGGGGGCAGGAAGTAGTTACTTACAGTCATGTGAAAAAGGACACCCCATTGATTTTTTAAAACTTTTTCAACATATTTCAACATAGAAACATTTGATCTTCATTTCAGCAGTACTGATAGATAAAGGGGATATAACAGATATCATGCTCCATTTGTGTATTTACTTTTTCCAAAAAAGGAAATGGCATATCTGTTAATTTTGGGCTGAATGAATGATGCAAAGTCAATTTTTCATAGTTTCTTTTTTGTTCAATTACATCACCTTTATTTTTATATACTGTTTGAATATAGATAAAATACTGATAGGTCCACATGTGTTAAAAAAAAGAAGAAAAAAAACTTATATGGGGTGTACTTACTTTTTCACATGACTGCATATCCCAATTTTGAGAACAGCCATTTTCCCAAAGTGGTTTTCAAGCAAATAAAAATAATTGCAAATAAATATCATAAATATAACATTTAAATTCACTTGAATGCATGTACTGAGGGAGGCTCTGCTTTTAGTCATAAATGCACCAGTGAAGTATCAGACCCTTGAATAGGCAAAGTCTGCAATCACATGGAAAAAGCACGTCTGGATAACTTCCTACAAGGCACAAATACTTTCTCTTTCCGTGACATGGCCATACATCCATCTCAGTGCCATAATCCCACTCTCTCCTGTACGCACCTCTCAATCAGTATCTCAAGTATGCTGTTAGCAACCTTCGAACATTTGTTTTTATTACTGTATTATACTAGTGGACATCTGTACTAATTCTGTGGCCTACGGTCATATTTCCATTAATGTTTAGGATTGCAAGGCAAACCTATTTCCACATGATGATGTAACAGATTGGAATTTGCATCTTCTGATGTGAAAAGCTTGCATATTAATCTACTGCTGTCCTTGGTCTCAAACATATTGTTAAAAGCACAGAGGCACTATGTTAATACCAGGAGATGCAAGTATGTTTATTTAGAAAATGAAATTGTGATAAGAGAATATAAATGACTTGATGAACCAAACAAACACTCTTTGTTACAAATATAAAATGACCTTCCAGAACTCATATCCAGAGAGCTACTTGGTAATTTTCCCACATAGATGCGTAAATGAAGCACTTTTTTGCACTCTAGACAAAGAGCAAAACATTTTAATTTTAAAGAACGTTGCTTTTTATCACTATACAAAATGAATACAATCCTAAATCAACTTAATCTATCATTGAATTTAAATGGAACACCTTATAGTAGGTATGTTTACGTATATGTAGGATTGCACTGTTAATCATCAAAAGACACTTGGTGAGAAGACTGAAAAGGAATAATTCTACTACCATATGCTGTATATCCAAATAGCCTACAGTGCACACTTTTCAGAATACTCAGACAATGGAAGAGTTTGTGCAGCTGATGGACTCACTGACCATGAGACAGCAATTCTTTACACGAATCCCAAGGGAATCATTTCAAAGCAATATACACTACTTTTTGTTTCATTATAATGTATTTACACATTTCTCAATGTTCAAAAAATACCTATACTTGGAAAGGATAGTCAGTATTTGGAGGAAGGAGCAGTCTTGCATACATGCACAAAAAGTGGTAACTGGAATGTAGGCAGTATCTCTGATAATATGGTTAGGTTAAATAAAGTCAGAGAGATCTATACAAGATCACTGTGCAAACTGAGGTAAGAGCCCATGGGTACATTCTGTTTATTCCTGGATAATAAAGAATTCCAGCACAGACAAGCCAAATGAATGCATACACTCTCAAACATGGCATATAACCAAGTCCTGAATTAATTCTCCTGCTCCCTGTTTTATAGGAAAACAACTTGGAAATAACTTCAAAATGACCTTTTTGGTCATGCCGTACAATGTTTTTTTCTATTACATGAATAAACTGCTCACAAATTCCCATGCCCCGTTATTCTCTGGCAAGAGTATAGGATGAAATGGAAAACTTAACTTTAGTGAAGCATTTAGTGGGATATAGTTTAAAATTAACTTAACAAAACCTTGGACTAGTTATAAACTATAGATACTGAATAAATACAGGTAGTCCTCACCAAACAACCACAATTGCAACTGGAATCTTGATTGTTGAGCAAAGCGGTTGTTAATTGAGACACCCACATGACTGCTTCGCTCAATGACTGCAATCTGGGCACTCCTGGTTGTGGTTGTTAAGCAATCTCCCAGGTCGTTAAGTGGATGGAGCGAAAGAGCTGTCTGCTGAAGGACTTCAGCTCTTCATGGAGCTGAAATCCTCCCTGCAGGCAGTTCTTTGAGAGCAAAAGGGCTGCTTGCCAGACCGTTTCAGCTCTGTGTGGAGCTGAAATCCTCCCAGCAGGTAGCCCTTTCACTCTCAAACATTCCTAAAGCCGGCCAAGCTGTTTGCCCTCCCCTCCACGGAGGGAGGGGAAATCCTTCATGTGGCTGGAGGAACGGAGCTCAAATCGTCAGGATTTGACTTCCGTTCCTACACACCACCAAGAGGTTTCCTTCCGTCCCCTCTGCTTGCAACCTTCCCTGCGCTGACTTTCTGGGGAAGCCGGCAGAGAAGATTGCAAATGGCGAACACATGATCATGGGCCGCTTGACAACTGGATGTAAATATGAAGCGGTTACCAGGTGCCCGAAAAGCAGCCACATGACTGTGGGGGGGGGCACGTTTTACGATGGCTGGAAGTGCTGTACAGGCCATAAAGCACCCTTTCCGAGGGCGTCGTAACTTTGAACCATCATTAAACGAATGATTTTTAAGCAAGGACTAACTGTAAGGAAAACCACCCAGTTTAAAATAACATATCTGAGTTAGGCCCAGTTTAGCTAAACAAGACAGCACCTCCACCTCACAACACTGGGCAGTGTTATTATTATAAATTATTTTAATTTGTTTAATAGTGGAAGCAAAAACATCTGATTTCCTCTTTGTGGCCTAATGGGGATGCAGCATGGGTATTTTGAAGTATCTGAAGATATATACACATACATAAACTTGTTCTACAATGCTATAACATATTAGAACTGTATCTAAAATGGTACAACTTTTGCAACTTATACCCAGGCGTATAATCGCTGTTATGAAGACTACACTCTCACAAATGACACTGTAAATTGCATAAATTGTATATTTCTTACAATAAAATATTCTAACATGCAGTTTTATAGACTGGACTCCTGGCTATAAAAAGAGAGCCCTGTCAGTCCCTGCTCAATTGCTTGCCTCTAAAGATGCCAGCCACAGTAGCTGGTGAAACATCAGGAAATCTGTTGTCTAGACTACAGTCACTAAACCCTGAAGCCCAACACTGCCCAACAGATACTGACTATGAAAGCCTACATCAGTATATTGTGCCTTCTCTGTGGCAGTACCTGCCCGCTGGAATGAGGTTCCCTGAGATCCGGATGACTCCCATCCCACAAGGCCTTAGATATGGCTGTTTTCCCAGGCCGTGGGCTAGAGTTGGAACCCCTTGCTGGTTATGTTTCTATGTGTTCTAGTGTTGCTGACCAGATTTGCCATCTTGTTTTCTATTTCTTTTCTAGTTTATATTGTATTTTTATTCAAGTTTAGTCCAGGGTCTAAACTGGAGTCAAGTGGCACTTAAATGTAAATACTGTAAACAAACAAACAAACAAATAACAATTCACAAGGGCATAAGGACCTGGGGTAAGTTTTATTATAGGAGAATATAAATGACTTGATGAACTCTGCAAAATGCCACCATTGGAGGAGGGGAGGAATCCTGTTTTTTCTCATAATATACAGTTCCACTCAGAGTTAATCAGAAATAAAAGTATATTAAACGATCAGTGATCAGCCAAATCAGGAAGGCACGTAAGCATGCAATGTAGTGTTTATATCTATATAAGGGTAGTTGCTCAAAGAAACAGTTTTGAGTCATTCCCCAACGGCTCTGTGTTCTCACCTTGGCATCATGAGTGTGAGATGAGTAGAAAAGGCTTAAGTATTACTTGCCCTAGAATGACATCATTTCTCAATTAAATATTTAACTCAGATTATGAATGTAAACAAACATCTGTGCCCAGGGGCATACTGATTCTACAGCTAAGGCTTGATTTACCTGTGGATTGGCAGCCATGATAGTATAATTCCCATCATCATCCAGGGTGGAGGCAGTGGTGTGGAGAGAGCAAGTCCCATCAAGTTCTCTTTGCATCCTGTAGTGTTCATTCCTTTTAGAGATTTGCTTACCATCTTTGAACCAATAGATCTATATTAGGAGAAATCAAAACCAAAACATAAACAATGAAAGGGAAACACAATAAAAATTTATAATCTGTGAATGAAGAATGAATCCAAGTGCTGATCTCAGAAAGAAAATAAAAAGGATCTAGAGTAAATTCCTGCCTTTCCTTCTGTTGTATGACTTGGGACAAATACTTGGAAAATAAAAAGCCATTTCACTTCATTGGCTTAACAGCGAGTAGTTCATATATTTGTGTTTTGAAGCATACTGGAGACTGAGATGGTATAAGATGATGGACTAATGAAGGAGTCAGGAAATTGATTCTCCCATTGCTGTTGCATTACTATTTCCACCTTCCCTCATCACTGGCTAGAAAGTAAACAGTGATACATTTTCTATGAACATTTTTCCTCATAAAGTTATACTGCTAGTCTTGCCAACAGTATAATGTCCAATTAAGCTTCCTAGGTCCAATTAGAGACCGAATGAAACACTCAAACATTTAAGATTAATGAAAGTTCTTATTATCCTACTCTGATATGGCTTCTCTACCAGATATTGCCACCCAAGTTTTTTTTTATGATTAGTAACTACATGTTGAGTTTGTTAATGCTGAGTGTTTTTGCTGTTTGGAATTATTGGAATCATAATTAAGTTCAATGATCATATTGATAATTATTAAATGAAAAAAAACTGATTTCAATTATATAATACTGTAAAGGGCTTAATTTCTTTTTTTCCAAAATCAATAGTATGGTAATATCTTTATTTGGACCAAGCAAAATAACCCAAAAAATGCAGCAGCTTTTGAATTTTCCAGAACTTTTCATTAGACAAGAAAATGTTGCCTCCTTCCCCCGCAGCTATGAAAACACAAAGTGTTCATCAGTCTTGATCTGAACATCTGGTCTAATTTTTTAGCTATGTGCTTCTTCCTCCTTCCTGCATTCAGTAACATCTCATCTGATAAACAATTTTGGAGAACTCAAAAATGTGCATTCTCTTGTGCATCATTTTCACTGGGCCTAATAAAAGTATTACCCAACTGTGAATGTTACCTTTTTTTGACTCCTGGATCAAACTCAGTTATGACTGCTTTCTAATGTATACTGTTATTAAACTAATCCTAGTAGTTCATCAAATACAAATACTTACCTTGCCATTTTGAGACACGATGCTGTATCATAGACAAAAACAGCAGCTGTATCATTTATGTTCAGTACTGGGGTTGTTTATCATAGGTAACAGGAGCCGAAAGAAAGTTTTCTATAGGCTCAGATACATATGGGCCCCAGTTGTACAAACTGACCTGACAAACTAATCCTTTAAAGCATTATTTCTCTGTGTGAATAAATGAGGCTACAGGAATATGCTCATAACTGGCTGTGTCAGATGTTAGTGAATAAAGAGGTAATGCAGGAAAAACTCTGAGGAAGATCTTTAATCTTGGGGGACTTGAATGAAAGATGCTGGTCAAAGGGCTTTTGAAGAACTAGGTCAGGAGGAATGATTAAGAGAACTTGCTAATTCTCATGACAATTGGATCCCTTTAGCAAACAGTTTTAATGCAGTCAACTCCTCTGAAAGCAGCATCATTGTCTCATTTTCATTTCCAGGGAAAAATAAAAAGTAGAAATTATCCAAAACTGTTAAATACCACAACAATTAATTCTGCCAAGTTCTTAACTTTTCTGATGCTTGACCACCACCTATTTATATTCAATGCATGAGATAAAGCTATGCATTAAATTTTAATAATACCCATTAAAGGAGGAATACTGATTGAGTCTCACACTTCCATATAAGGTTACAAGATACTGACAAGGACAGTGCTACTGCAAAGAGTATTTTTTTCCTGCTCTGTCTCGTACTAATCTGTATGTGCTGGATTGCAAAACATTGACATTGCCAACAAAGGCTGAATACAACCATGTGATGGCACAGTTTTAATGTCTCAAATAAAAAAGTCGAGCTATTGTTTGTAAACCCTAAATCTTAGCAAAGGCTTAGCTGCAAAAATAAGTTTGAACTTGCACACTACACAGATTTCCTAATATTACTTTTTAAATGTTGGTCTTGTAAGAGCCAGTAATTATTTTATCATATGCTTCTTTCATTACAGAATCTGGAGATTTGCCAAGAATTAAGCAAGTTAGATACATAAAGGAGTTTATGCCTGGTGTCCTAGATTAACATGACTGAGTGTGGTTTTTACTGTTAATTCAGTTGTATAATAATTAATACATAATTCCTTCCTCTTGCCCCACAGCAATATTCTGTATGTAGTCAAATGTTTTCCCTTTAGAAAATTACCATTATCTCATGTTACTGTTGCACGTTGCTTGTGTCAAGTTAAATAACATCTTTAATTTTTTTTTAATCAACCACACACAGTTTAACTGAGTTGAAGTAAATTTTTGGGGGTAAAAAGATTATCAATATAAAATACAGGAAACTAAATGCCAGAATCTCAAAATTTTGAAGTTCACCTTTAAGGCAGTTTCCTTCTGTGTGTATTATCCTCAGATGTATTTTACTACTGGAGTTCGTAATTGAGATATAGTCAAAAGATTAGATTTCAATGTCTC